GTGCTTAGCCGTACATGTTCATATCCTTGAAGATGTATCATGGAAGTGTTACAGCCTAGAAGATACAAATTTAACTGACAAGTTAAAAGTGCATGAGTCAAAAATTGAAAAGCAATAATATTCTGAGTAGAGGTTCTAATAGTGGCACAAATCAAGTTACAGAGGTAAGGTGGTTCCATTGCCATCCTTACTCTAACTTAATTATTTTTTTTAATTTAAATTTGTTATTAATTTCAGTGAAAATTTACAGAGGCTTTGGATTTCCATTCATTCATTGGTGTAGATTTGTCCCCTCCCAAGGCTCCCCCCACCAGACATTACCCTCTTGGAAAAGTAAAAGAAAAGATTCTTTCATTATTTCACAAACCCTCCCCCAGGTCCACTCCACCATGTAGACAAGCGATGTTTACAAAGTTACACAGTAAAAAGAGAAAACAAGATTTCAAACAGAAATTGGCAACCCCAGTGACCATGTGTTTTATATCATAATCCTTGCTCAAACTATATCAATGTGTCTTCTGTATAATTTGTCATCCCTAACAAAGTATCGAATCTTAAAAGCATTTCTTTTCATTTTCATCCTATAACAACCTTACAAGTACATTTTCTACTTGACATACAAGCTTTTCACCTAACATTCTTGCTGCTTCCAGGTTACAGCCAACTGACACCCTGTTTTACTTAGTTTTATTTGACCTTACTTTATTACTTTTTAAAGAACCTGAAGCCTCCTTAAAAGATTTGAGAAATCAGCACAATTAATACTACCTGGTTCCATCTGAGAGCACAGGAGCCTGTTATTGTCCACTGTCACCATTATCATTGACAATCTATTACTAAATAACTACAATGTGCAAAATATTAAGCACTTTATTTGCATTATTTAACTAGTAGAACTCCCTTGATTACAGGGCCTCAAAGCCATAAATAACAAAAGATTTGAAGAGCATTCACTCTTTTCTACAAATGTGCTATTACTGTGAGAAACATCTCCACCCTACTCTCCCCTCCCCAATGAGAAGCATTCTCTCTTGGGCAACAGATGGTGACAGAGATGAGGGGCGCAAAGCAAGCAAGCAGATTATTAAGAAACTTCATTCCATGAGAGTGTAAGAAGGGAAGGTGGGAGAAGGACACATTTTTAATAGTATCATACCCTGCCTGCCACATTCTCCTTTCTAGAGATCTCCACCTCAAAATGTACTGACCTCTTACCATTAACCCTGCCTCTGGAGACTTAGTTGTTATAATGTAAAAAGCACACTCTGCACATTAACCATCACAGGCATTAAATATTTCTCCTCAGCGCAAGCATAGATACATACCTCTGCTTGGCGCTACACAAAAATTAATGAAAAGAAGAAACTAATATCGTGAGACACACTGATGATCTTAAAGACTTATCTTCCGAAAATGAATTGATGTGTTACTCAGGTACACTCCTGAATGGCAATAAATATTCACCTATGAGTTTGTCTCCATGGGACTTACCCTGAAAGGATTAAAAGGGGGAATCTTATTTACAGGAAACTCTTCTGGAACCCACTACAATAAATTCTAAATCTGCGACAGCAAACCAAAACACCAAGCTTCCAATACAACACAGATCTCTCAAGATAAAAGTTAGGTTGGAGCCCTATATGCCTATGCATTAGAGATCAGCTTGTCAATGTACTCAGTTTAGGAGAAATAGGAATGAGGTAGGAGGAAAATATATGTATTTCCATTCTCGTGTGGAAAGACGTGAATAAAAATAATTTTGATGTACCATTTGTACTTCAGCACAAGGAAGGAGGAACAGGCCTGGACATTTGTTTAGATCCTTTCCAGTCCTACAATTAAAAATCTTTAGCTTTAGCAAAGCACCCCATTTCTAAGATATACTCTCAACTTTTCTACCAGACTGAATTGTTAATTACTATATACTAGAGAAATATTTTAAAAATTAATAGTAATTTGACCACATTAAAAAAAAAAAAACAAAACCAAAACCCAACCCACCAAACTTGTCCAATACTCTCATTTCTAGACATCTCTCCTAAGGAGATACAGTTACTGCTTATTTAACACTGCACATTCCTGTGAAGATTTTCTGTGAGCATAGAGTCCTTAAGCAAAAACATCAGTCTGTGTACACCTCTTATCTGCAAACTGGTCCAGCTCTGCTGAGTGAAAAAGTTATCATATTCCTCCAAGAAGTTGTGCCTAACCATGTCTTTTTCTCCACTAAGAGATCAGTTCACCAGAAGCACAAAGAATAATTTTTTTTAATAAACTTTTCACCCAAAACTAAATAAAAGAGAGTTTGCTGAACAGAGTAATGTCAACTAAGACACATCGAATAACAACACAAAGTCACTCTTGGACTAAAGGTTTGTATGGTCAATGAATCTTTCTTTTTATGCTTTGCCAATACCATTTCCCCTTTGTTGTTGTTTGTTGCTATGTGCCGTCGAGTCGCTTGCAACTCATAGCAACCCTATGTACAATAGCCCTAAACTCTGCTCTGTCCTGTGCCAATCTCACTGCCTCTGACACACACATCCTGATTACCCCAGTCACTGAATCAATCCACATCCTAGAGGGCCTACCCCTTTTGTGCCTGCCCTCGACCCTCCCAAGCATGATGTCCTTCTCCAAGGACCAGTCTCTCATTACAACATTACCAAAGTATGTCAAATGAAGCCTCAGAATCCTTTCCTCCAAGGAACAGCCTGGTTTAACCTTCTCCAGCATGAATCTGTTTGTTTTCTTAGCAGTCCATGGTGCCTTCAATACTCTTCTCCAACACCAAAGCTCAAAGGCATCAATTCTCCTTCTGTCCTCCTTAGTCATTATCCAACTCTCTGACGCATAACAAGTGATTGTGAAGACCATGTCCTGTATCAAATGCACCTTAGTCTCCAGAGAGACACCATGGCTCTTCAGTACTTTGGAGAGGTCCCTAACAGCAGACTTTTCCATCGCAATACGCCTTTTAATTTCCTGGCTACTGGTGCCAAGAGTGTGGATTGTGGAGCCAAGCAGAATAAAGCTGTGAACAATCTCAGACTCTTCACCATCCATCCTGATGCAGCCAATTGGTCCAGTGGTGAGACCTCTAATCTCTATCATTCACCATAACTATCACTGTGGGTTTTCCTTCTGGATATACTTCTCTTTACATACTCTCCTCACCAGGCTTGCTCTGCTAAATTATCCGCCACAATCCATGGAATCTTCTTGAACTGTAAACAAACTATCCCATAACCTAGTGTCTTCAATGAAGGTTCTTTCCACCTCCTCTTCAGAAGATTTTGGTTCTCTGCTAAGAAAACCATTCTTACGTAGGTAATGCTCACTCTTACACCCTTTAGGAGTAGCTGAAAAAACTGAAGTCAATGTTTTTCTAAACTTATTCGTAACGTGCTGATTAATCCTCACTTAACTAGGTGACCTTACCAAATGACCTTCCCCACCCCCCCAAATGATAATGGGGAGGAGGGGGAAAAAAAATCAAGGTCATTGGAAAAGTATTCCTGCTCCAAAACTATCAAAAAACCAAACAAACAAAAAAAAAAGAAGGAAAAAGGCTGGGTCTGTATTCTTTCTTTTATTCCTGAAATTTTAGTTGAAGACTAAAAATCCATATCTTTTTCTAAATTTTTTTTTTATTTTTTAAGGCTTCCCAAAAATTGGTTGTTGTTGTTTTGTGCTGTTTAACTCATAATAGCTCCAACTCCAGACATCCTTGGTAAAGGACCAAAGACTGATAAATTCCAGAGTGAAACCTGAGTATGCTCTTCCATATCTGAAACATTCAAAAGTTGAATCTTGTTAGATGTGTACTGTATTATCCTTCACTCATCTCCAGGGAGTAAGTTTAGTCATCATTTCTAGTATCTGTATATATATATTTTTTTCTGTAAACAAATAATATCTATATATATTTATACCTATATCTCTATATATCTCATCTATCCATATCTCTATCATCTATATATCTATATATAAATGGAGATTAACAAAAAAGAGGAAGAAAAAAAGAGTGAACTGACACAACGGTTGCAATAATGAGCTATCTTCAGAACAGCAACAATTCTGAGGATGGTACAGGACTGGATAGTATTTCTGTTGTACAAAGAGTTTAGTTGGCATTGACTAAACTGCACCTAAATACAACAACATGCATATACAAATATAGGGGCCTTGGTGGCATAGCGTGTTGGTTTGTTTGGCTGCTAACCCAAAGGTTGGCAGTTTAAAACCAGCAATTGATCTGCAGGAGGAGAAAGATGAAACAGTCCTCTCCCATTAAGATCTATAGCCTAAAAACCCAGTAGAGGGTCTCCAATTGGTAGGGTCTACTCAACAGCATCGGGGTTTTTATACATACATAGAAACACCAACCGCTGGCCTTTTGGTTGGCAGGTTATCCTGTCAACCACTGTTCCCCTAGGGCTCCTCCACTCCCAAGCCAAAACAGAACTATTAACCCAACCCTACAGCAGTTGTCCCTATTTCATTTGGTTGTCTTATAGATACTTCAACCCTCAACATGTCCAAAACGAAAGTTATATTTCATTGCCAAACTATTCATGCTCTCACAATCTTGAGTTAAAGAATCAGCAGTCTCATTATCCAATTAGTTTCCAAAAACAGGAATATGAATCATCCTCAACTATTCTCACTTCTCAAAATCACTCATCACCTGCCATAAATTTACCCTTAAATCTAGGCTCTTTTATTTTTTCACAAGTGCTTCTTCCCTAGATTGCTAAAATAAACTATTAGTCTCTCATTTTTAAAGTAAATATTCTCTATAATAAACTCTGCACATACTAAATTGTATGTAATCTGAGGTATATAAAATTATCATAGTAATTGTCTAGTGTAGTAGATTTTATTCATAATCTTATTCTGTATTTTTCAAGTGTTTTGCCTGAATAATGTACTTTTTTTAATAGAAGGAAAAAGATAATTATTTTATAATGTGAAAATAAGGAAAAAGAATGACTTACCATGGACTAGTTGCATATCTAGAAGATAACATTCCTGTATGTGCTGAAGCTTTTGAAACAACTTGGGTCCTTGGGAGTTGGTATAGAGGCAATTCTTCTTGATCCCTTCTTTGAGTCACAGCAGGAATGTCAACATGCAAGCTAGACCCCTGAGTGTCATTTGGAATCATCATGTCTGAAGAACAAACCCAGATGACAATGAATACAAGAGGCAGTGATTTAACTGTCACTCATTCAACAATCAGATACATGCATCTACTATGAGCAGGCACCCTTCCAGGCAGGAGATTGATAATATTAAAGTAAACATGCAAAACATTTACTGCTAGATATTGAAAACTGATACAGTGAAAAAGAAAATAAAGAGTGAGTGGGAACGCTCTGTAGAAGGTTGTAATTTTAAATATAGCCTTATTGAAAAGATGACATTTTGGTAATATGAATATACTTAATGAAAATATCCTAATCTTATTACCATTTTTCCTTTACTAACTGACTTTAATAAAACAACTCATGTAATAATGAATAACCAAGTAAAAAGTCTGCATTTTTAAAAGGTCTCTGTTTAGAAATTACAGAATTATTTAACATTTGTTACGCCACTTATTTTCACATCAATCTTTCAGAAATGATACAACTAATCATACAGATGGGAAAATTCAGGTTAGAGAATATGCCAATTTTCAACCGTGAATAAGAAACACAGATTGCCATTATTCATTTAAATATTTACAACATATTCCACTATCTTCTTATCAATTTGGATTATCATTTTAGAGAGTTCACAAAATAAGCTTTAGAAGTACAGGGAGATGTAGGGAAAAGAAATGAAACCTGGGATATTCACTCTTAACACTGTTCTTTAGTTTTGGGCATCATGTTCAGAGAATTACCACAATAAATTGGGGAGGGGGAGATTAAAGAAGCTATCTATTTTCTCCTTATGTCAAAACAAATAGAGCACTCTACTCTTGCCCCAATAAGTATTTTCTGATACTTGAACACGTCAAAGAAGTTTATTTCACATTTCCTTGCTGTCTATATAGTTGTTATTATCTACCAGGATACTTATCCACTCAACTTTATTCTGACCAAGAAAACCCTACCGCCCTCCTTCCAGGCTCAGTTTATCTGTCATTTTATATCTAAAAAACTTCCATTATCCCTAGAACTTATACTTTTCCACACAACACTACTAACAAAAATGAATTCATTATTGTAGCTACTCCATCATATTATGGCATAAATTTGACTGAGATATTGCCTAACTCACCTTTGAGTGAGGGAACGTGAGGAAAAAAGTGACGAAGCAGTTCTAATTCTTATCATGAGCATTTATGACATATACTAAAATATAAAACAGACTTCTATAACACATACAAAGCTCAAAGAGAATGCTGCTGCTATGTACTATCTAGTCAGAACCGACTCATACCTGACTTTCAGCTACTTATCAGAGAGAGTAAACTGCACGGCAGGAAACTGCCCTTTTTTTCCTCACAGAGCAGCTGGTGGATTTGAACCATCAGTTTTTAGATTGGCACTGCAGTTCCTTACCTTTAGCCACCAAGAGTCCCTCTAAAAAGAATGGATCAACTAAATACTTTATGAATAATTTTTTAAAACTATTCAATCAGCAATAAGAAGGCATGCCTGTTTGATGATCATGTGAATGAGAAATGCTAAATCCTAATGAAATCAACTTGAACATAATGCATTTCATCAGACCTCTATTTCCTCAAATGTAAAGTATAGAGACTGGACAAGATTTCCATAAATACTTCTAAGAATTAATGCCTACTTTGTAATTTAGAGTTTGTTCTACTCAATTTTAGCAATCTTATTTAAGCCTTGTACTAACTGAGATAATGTGAATAATGTTAAAGTGGAGTGTTGTCAGCCTAATGACATGTGATTCAAATTTCCTCTTGTGTGATTTATTGCCCCTGAAAACCTGCTAGAGTGTCTGCTATAGGTTGGTTCCAACTTGATGGCAAACAATAAGGCTATCTAGGACCTAATCTTTGGACCTCTAACTGTTACAGAGTAACACAGACTTGGCAGAAGGGACTTATTTAATGATAGATTATCTGCATGGATTCTAAGTGGAACCACAATGTACTTATAAGAAGGAAGCAGAGATAAGAAGAAAAGATGATGTGAAAATAGCAGAAAGATTTTTAAAAACTCCATCATCTTTGAAGATGGAAGAATGAATCAAGAATTAAGAAATATTCTAGATACAAGAAAATTAAAGGAAACCAACTATGATTTAGAACCACATAAGGGAACATGATCCTTGATTTCAGACCAGTGAAACAGATTTTTTATATTAAACCTCTAGAACAAGAAGAATAAAATGTGTTAGTTAAGTGCCCAAGTTTATAGTAATTTGCTGAAGCAGCCATAGGAAACGAATATAGTAAGGAGAAGCTATAATACCATCCACAAAATAAATATCTACTGCAACAGTGCATGCTGCAAGTACTAATTAAGAAGTACTAGAGAGAGGGGGGGATAAACCAGAGAGCTTTAAGGTGGTTCATCATAATTAAAATATATCTTATATCTAGGATCACTTTATATATGTTGCAAAGATGAAAAAAATATATATTTACTGTATGCTGTATGTTGTTGTTAAGTGCTGTCGAGTTGTAGGCGACTCATAACAACTCTATGAATGAAAGACCTGAACACTTATATAACTTTCATCATTTCTCCAAGTATATAGGGTTTCCAGAGGCAGGCTATTTCAGAAGTGGATGCCACTCTGCTTCCATGCTTGTTTAATCGGGAAGCTCCAACCAACACTGTCTGCCATGGGTAACCATTCTTGCTAGTCTTTGGTATGCTGTATATGCTGGTAAAAAACACCTAAGAGTGATGCTGTACAATCATTTATTAATGCCTCAAAAGGGTTAAAAGTTCAGGTATTTAATCATTAACAGGGTTCTTTGTGGCAAATAATTAGAGATATACAAGGCCGTTGAAAAACATCAGCAGAAACACTGTCAAGCTTGGGCTAAAGAGGAAAAGGAAAGGATGAAATTAATTAAGGTTGTCAGACTACAAAAAAAACTACAGGTAAGAAACAGGCTCGTTAAAACCTCAGAAAACATGTGCTACCTCTTAAGAAAAAGGAAGGATGACTTGTAACACAGCAGAATCCTGGACGTAGAGAACAGTGCCTTAAACCACAGATTATCCCCCGAACTTTTAACCTAATTTGGTTCAGAAATTGCTTGGGACTAGAGAATGCTTTCTTCTTCCGGTTTATCTACTTGATTTCTACTTTTACAAGTTTACAGATGGAGAGTCATTTGTCCTAGAGTCATATTCATACCTGATTTATAGAATGACATTTGGGAGTTTTAAACTAAAACAATCTAAATCAGGTTTGTGCCTTGATTTGGGCTGCTTGTCTTTTTCTTGTTGGGATGTTGGTGTTTTCTACAGATTTTAGAGATGAGTCCCTTATCAAATGTGCTACTGACAAGTATTTTTCCCCAATCTGTAGTTTTATGCTTTTGAAGAAAGAAGTCTTTCTATGCACATAATGATTCCCTTTTTTAGGTCTCAATCATCTAGTTAATTATACATTCTTAGTAATATCTGATTATCTATGCCATGTTGTTGTTTTTATGTGCCATAGAGTCAACTACAACTAATCATAAGAAGATCATCATACATTATCACACATCACAATCATCATCACAATAGCTCTGAACCTGGCCCTATCTTGAAACAATCTCATTTTCTCCAACACACCTACCACCATTGTCCCAGTTACTTTATCAATCCATCTCATCCAGGGTCTTATTCCCCTCCACCCTTCCAGCATGATATCCTTCTCCAAGGACCAGTCCCTCCTGGCCACGTGCCCAAAGTATATCAGATGGAGTTTCACAATCCTTGTCTCCAAGGAGCAGTTCGGTTTCACCCTCTCCAGGACAGATCTGTTTGTTATCTTGGCAGTCCATGGTATATTTAATGCTCTTCTCCAATACAATGACCCAAAGGCATCAATTCTTCTTCTATCATCCTGAGGCACTGTCCGACTTTCATGCATAGAAAATAATTACAAAGGCCATGGCTTGGAGCAAGCACACCTCAGTCTCTAGACTGACAATGTTGCTCTTTAGCACTCTGGAGAATTCCCAACAGCAGATTTTTCCCAATGCAATTTGTCTTTTGATTTCCTGACTACTCATGCCAAGAGTATTGATTGTATTGAATCAAGCAAGCTGAAATTGTTAAGAATCTTAATCTCTTCTCTGTCTATCAATGATGCTACCAACTGGCTAAGAGTTAAGTTTCAATCCATACTGAAGACTGCAGTCCTTGACCTTTTGCAGCAAACACCTCAGGTCCTCCGCAACTTCAGCAAGCAAGGTTGTTTAATCTGCGTAACACAGGTTGCTGATGAATCTTTTTCCCATCCCGATGCCATAGATCAGGAATAATCTATGCCTAAATTTGCCCAAATTTTTCTGTAATGTCCTTTATCGATTCAGGTTTATGCCTGGGTCCTTGATCTTTCTGAAGTTAGTTTCGCATAAAGAATGAAGTATGGATCTTTCTTCCATTTTCTGCCAGCATCATTTGTTAATGAAGCTGTCTCTTCCCTATGGAATGATTTTAATCTCTTTGTCCCAAATCAATTGGTCATAGATTGGTGATTTTTTTTTTTCTTCTGGGCTCTGAATACTATTCCCTTGAGCTATGTATCAGTCACTGTACCAGGACATGGCTGGGTAGTAGGTTTTAGATCAAGTAGTATAAGGCACCTCCCAAGTTTTTCCTCCTTCAGTCTCACTTTGCTTATCTGTGGTCTCTTTCCTTTCCATATAAAGGTCGTGATTACTTCCTGTATCTCATGGGAAAAACAAAGTGATCTGGATCAGGATTACACTGTATTTGTAAACTGCTTTTTTAGTATTGCTATTTTAACAATGTTACATTTCCAGTCCATGGGCATGATATACGTTTTCATTTAGATAGGTCTCTTTGGGTTTCTTATAGTCATAGTTTATAGTTTCTTTGTACTGATCTTTTCTATTTCTTACTTGATTTATTCCTACATAGTTCATTTTTATTATTGTCCTTAAGTCTGTTTCAGAGTTTTCTTTGTTACTGTAGAGAGATCTGACTAATTTTTTTATGATGACTTTTACC